TCTCTCACAGTCGTGGAGAGATCCCAGAGACTGAAAATTTTTATTCCTGGTATCTCAGTATAATTTCTCGTGAGGCAGGTGAAAATCAGAGGGATTCTGACTGGTGCCACAAAATTCGATATCGTTAATCTGATGGGTACTTTACTTTTTATGAAAAGCGATATAACCAGTAACGAATATCAACAATAGCGTGGCTCTGACAAATTTTAGTCCGTATGTAAATTCCATTCAATTGGCAATTAGGGTTTACCCTACTGACACCAGATTTTTAGCGGTGCTGAGAAGTTGAGCCTAGTTTAGTGCAAGGTATGGTAATTTTTATCGAAATTTATGGACATTATTTTTTCTCTCAAAATCTCAAATAATAGAAGCGTTGCATTTGACGTTATTTTACATACACGGGTTAAGAACGATAATTTTCGAATAATTCCTTGGTATGCTTTTTTGTCTATAGCAACAAAGAATTTTCTGTGAACGATTCTTTTACAGGAAATTCTGAGATTAAAAATAATCTCCCGAATAGCTGTTGAGCCTCGAAGTTATTTGGATATTTTCCGTGTGCTTTTCGGACTCGTGATTTTTTCATGAGAAAAAAGTCTTCCATCAACTCCTTCATTTGGTTGCAATGAACCCGTCAGGAATTATCCTGCCATTTTGAACCTCTCGTGGTGTTATAAAAACTCATATTTTTTCGCTGTACGTATATTTTTTGTATCTCACATTCACTTATTCACGATTCATTTAGTCAATTCACCTTTATTCGAACATATCCGATTCAGGTGGTAAAGTCTTGGTGGTAAAGGGTTGGCAACACTCAGTGGTTCAGACCCCAGCCAGCCCTATTTTCATTGTCGACATTAGACTGAAATGAGAGTGATTCATTAGGCCATCTAGGAGCTGAAATTCGGGCCTAGTCCAAGCCTTGAGTGAAGAATAAAATGAAGAATAAAGTCTCCGCTCAATTCATTTCCATAATTGTAGAAATAATGACTATCAATTGTTATATACAAAATCTCTAAAATTTAAAATCTCTTCTATTAAATTTGATTTAATGTTCGCTAGACGTATCGAGTTGCCGTGTCTCTCAGACGTCCGCGCGCTGACCTCGAGCGTCAGCAACTTTCGGCGCGCGTGACGACTCCGAGCGTCAGCGGAGACTCCAAGGGCACAGTGACTAATCTATGCTCGCCATATCATATTTAATTCACATTTACCTTACGAATAGTCTCGCGCGCATGAAATTAAAATGTCAGCATTTCCATACGTGAAGTATCACGCAGAATTTCATTTCTATCCCCGTTTCGCACGTGAGCGCAAAATTTGACGATGAAGCGCCCATCCCCAATGGGTGCATCGAAATGAAGAGCGCTCGAGACAATAATCAGTCACGATTTTACCATCAAGGGAATAACATAAAATTTGGCTCCTGCACAATTATTCCTCCGCACCCAACAACGCCGTGTACGTTTCCCTTAGTCTTGGGCTTTAACCGTGCGGTAAACCGACTTGAGTGCGCGTCCGGAATAACTGCAGTAATAATTTTGATCCGCGACAATTACGCTCAACTTTGTAGTCGCGCAAGTTAGAGCATATCATACACGCGTGTGTCACTGGTTGGACTCATTTGCAAATTCTACCATTAGTTATTAGATTAAAATCAAGTTAATTGAAATCGAAGCTAGCCTTTTATAATACGTGAACCAATTCTTAGTGGAATTTAGTGAATTTTATCAACTTATTTGACTTAATATCTCCGAAATAGTGAAATTAATCAAAATTGAGTGACCATCCAACTAATTAGGATTCGCCGCCTCCCATCTATCCGAAGATCATCGAAGGACGTTTTTTCCGACTATACCAATTTTGTAAAGTCTAAGATAAGGGTGAGCCTAATTATTTCCACATTAGATTTTCCGGGACAAATCTTCGGCCTCTCGCAATTTCATCGTTCGAATCGAGTCAATCAATTTTATATGCGCTAATCGTCCAGTATCGAATTCCAGAATATTGCGATTTGTGTCAATTAGTTAAATAAATTACTAGTTTAATTTGTTTTAATTTAAAGTATAAGGTTCCAAGATCATATATTTCTCAATTTAACAAAAGTGTTTTATTCATGGGGCCATTAAAGTTTTAACGCGAATTCACTTCGGTTTATAAATTATTTCATTTGCCCCTCAATAATCTCCTTCGTACCTCAAGCTATTTACATATGCAACGACACGATTCAGTGAGAAGTGCGTAGCGCTGCAGCTAAGGGTCCATAGGGATTATACTCTCAAGCAAAGACCATGTAAGTCTTGTGAGAATAGTCCAAAATTTTATTTGTTGTGAAAATTATCGGACCTCCGTCCGATTTATAACACAATTAATGATGGTAAAAACATTGTTATCCCCGCTACAAAGATAGTCATAAATATCAACCACATCATCCAAGCTAAGCCCAAATCAGGCTTGCGGCAGCCTTTTGAACACGAAGTTGCATAATTCTAATTATCCTCATCTGTAATTAATTGACTAATAGATTATGAACTCATTAATAACATCGGATCTATTTTTCAATTGTTCATAGTTTTATGTATGGATAAAAGAAAGTATACCACGTTACATTTTTATATTCAAGAAAAATGTCTCGTCGTAAGAAGTTTCAGATGGCATAGTGGAAACGCGTTGGACTATGGATCGGAAGGACCCCGGGTGAATTCCCCCGAGTAGGAGCAATTTTTCGAATGTTTAATTTCATTGTCTTTCAATTGTTAATTAGTCAATCACACACCCAAAAATGTCGCTCTGAATAAAGTCGATTTTTCAGTTTGATACAAGTAAATTTTTTTGGCTTCAAATTCGCTAAATAAAATGAGTAGGAACTGTACATTTCAGTTCAATTTTTCCATGAAAATTTATTAAAATCAAGAAAATTCAGGTAAATATAGTCTGAAATTTGGAATCAATAGAAATTTTTGTGTAACTTGGCACTGGATACTCACTTTCTGTTTGATAATTCAAGTTAAATAAGTAATTATTATTTTTTTTTATCTGACAATTCCTTGATTTTTTAGCTGCAATGCCCTGAGTGTTCCAAAATTTTCTATGATTTTGGAGCACAAGCGGCATTCTATTGGATTACTTCCCCATCTGAATTGCGACCGCCAGAAGTATTGACAGTTTTGCGAGTTAAAGCCATATTCGTACCAGATCTTCATTTATTTTATCAGAAAATCTTCATCCACGGTGGGCGTGCCACTAAATGGAAATAAGATAGATAGATAGGTAGTTTATTGCATCTTGAAATACAGAGTTTCATTGATCACCCACTTGTCCTGCTCCTTTCAATTGGATTCAACAGTTGAATGTCCTAGCTGCAGAGATGATCCCAAACGAGCTTTGGCATTCAGATGATTGGACCGTTTGGAAAAGCAAAAGATTTGCGATTCTAAATCATCGCGCATCCATTTCAAGGGAAACTGATCTGGCCAGATTCAACAAGTCGTTGGTTCATCAGTTCCCAGAGATGCAGAGTTCTTTGAATGACAATTATCTCTCTTTCTATTCGGAAAGATGTTCCGTTCATCTTGTGCGATATGGAATGCAAATGAGACTGTCAAAATGCTTCTTTCGTCGTTTTATAATAAAGAAGCAGCTACACAGCCCGGATTCCCATAGCATCTGTACAGACGCAACAGAGGCGATCTTGAGTCTTTCGTACATCTGTTACTTAACTGCACTTTGTATGCTAGTAGTCAAGCTCATTACATACAACCCCGATTCCTAACTGAGAGTCCTACCTATCTCATTTGGGAAATTTACGTACATTTCTAAATCCATTAAATCCTACCTGTTTGAAAGGCCTTTTTCTATTTTTGACTACTGTTTTTGATTCGCACTCGATATCAGGCTTATAAAGTCCTTGCTTACGCTTTTGTCCATGTTGTTACATACCTTCTACTTATCTTTAAAAAAAATGTCCGTTTTTTGCGGTTTGATCTGCATTCTTCGAAATTTTCCTTTATATTTCTGCAAACCCCCTGCATCAATCAATTGAAAAATCAGTTTAAATTATGCCGAAAAATCGACTTGAATCAACTCGCTATCTACTGCCTGGAATAGGCGGAAATTCGGCGTAAATCACTTCGTTTTCGATTGGATTCAAACCAATTTTTCAGCTTGATTCAAACTGATTTCGGCTTGACACGTTTCTTCTTGAAATAAACCAGTTTTTGACTCATAGCAAACCCGGAATCCGGATTGGCGGAGTCGAGTCAGTCGACTTGAATAAGTCGACGTCACCTTCCATCAGTACTTTTTTTGGGTGCAATTAACGCTTATCGGGTGATCAAGCATTACTAACGGTCTTACCCCAGTCTTTTTTATATAGTTATTCAAATCGACAGAAAGACTAATGAAAGAATCAGAAATTACTCAAGCAAATGCTTATAAATGATAATATAATTTGTTATGAAGAAGCACCAGTAAGCATTTAAAATTTCTTAATTCAAGCCTTGGATCAGGCATTGGCACCCAGCCTTGTGCTCGCCTAAGAAATTACGCATTCATTCAGGTTATTATTTTGGGGTTGAAGAAGGGCGGATTCAAGTTTGGGCCGCAGCCCTCACTAAGCGTTTTTGAACCTTGGTCCAGGGCTTGATGAGCCTTGTTCACAAATGTAAACAAGGCTCATCAAGCCTTATTTACGTTCTGAGCTCTTTGTTTGAAAACGAGAATTGAATTATTTTTGAAATAGCAGATTTCACCCCTGAGTTTTTTATGATAATCCTAATTGTACCCTCATTGCGTAACTAATCCTTATAAGTATTTGAATCATTATTTTTAATCGTTTTCATATTTTTATGAATATAAGTAGACATACCGATCAGTATAGATATAGGTATTTATAACCGAATAGATCGGTGATGAACACCGTCACATGGATTTTTTAAAAAAAGAATCTATTCCACACTTAATTGAAAAAATCATAGTAAATATTTCAATATACTACTTACTCGAAATCGTAAATCACCCACAGGGGGTAACGCATAAGGAATACCTTTGAATGCCACATAAGTTCCTCCATTTATATTTTCTTCAAAAACTCCTTGCAATGTTCCCAAGTCTGTTTCAATTAATGGAATCACCATATTGGAATCAAATACTCTAATCGTCTTGTTTCTTATCGTGGAATGACTTCACTAATCCTACCAATTATAAGTAGTCAATGATGAAAGAGAGAAGTTGAACTAGTACAACTAATTTCGTCTTTCACGTGATATCGCTCTCTTTATTCTTATTGGTAGCATTACCTTTTATACATTTATGGTTCCTGGAAATTATGTTGATTTGTATTCATTATGAATTTCCAATGTACATACATTGAAGATATCAGTGAATTTTGTCGATAAGTTATTGACAGCAATTCTGTTGAATTCTATTAGCCTCACTGAGTTTGTAACTGCATAGCTATAATTCACATATTAATCGTAGAATACTAATCTTTAACTACCTTCCTTAGTTTTCTAAATGAGGAGGAGTAGCAAACCGACCTTTAGCAGATGTGGTTTCGATTCCCAGTCGGCCGCCTTTGAATTTGTTATTTTTAAATTATGTTTACCATAATGTCGACCAAAAAAAATGTTTACCATATCTGACATTAATTTCAGTGACGATTTGAACTGTATTAACTGACTGAAACTAATGTTCACAGATTTCTCAATTATTTCTGAAATTTGGATTAACCCGCGGGAGTGTCGTCTAGAATGATATAATATGACATCTGAAATCATACTCTAACAGGGGATCATCGAATAAAAAATTTACACTGGTTATAGCTCGTTCCATGTTGATTTATTTAAATACTTTAAAACTGCTTGAAATATCAGTACAACTCCCTTGTTGTATTATTCATTGTTTTGAGATAAGTGTGGTCAGATATTTTTATTCCTATCAATCCAAATGATCTCGTTGAACATTCACGAATTGCGAAACAACTCAGTAAACGATTGATTCTGATAGTCAGTGTCTATACCGTGGCCATTTGTGAGTAATATACCATTGCGGACATTGTACAAATTGACCTCAAGAACTCAAGAATAAACTCCCTTCTTCCTTGAAATAGTATGTGAGTGATTCCACGAAAACTATGATGTTCGACAACGAGAATTTTCACAAAATCAATAGCGCACACTGAGACAATTTTGGCAATTTTGGGTACCTAAAATTGTCCTAAATTTGAAGTGCTACAAACTTACAAGATCGGACCCTACACCCTAAAAACTATCGGTCGCAAATCAAAATCGAACACCTGACTCAACTAGCAGAAAATTTGTTTTTTTTAGGACTCTTTACCAGTACACGTGCTCATGTTTTGGAACGTATGCATTGCAGGCCTTCGTGATGCTATTCCTATGTGACTTCCGTCTTTATATTCATCTAATTAATCATTTTGATGAATATAAGATGTCCCCTTAGAATCTCCGTCGCCATCCGTACAACAGAAAATAATTAAAAATAAATTATAATGTAGGAACGGGGAAAATATCCAATGTATCAAAATATTTAGGAATTTGGAGATTAAGGAGTAATGCTGCGACGCCGGACCCGAGAAGGTTTTATTGTGGGTTTCATTGCAGAGTTTGCCTCCCCCAAAATGTTGCCATTTTGGGTATGAGTCGGAGTAGGAGTGACGTGGGGGTAAACGTAAGGCCCAGGGAGAGAGCACGAGGGGTAGTGAGTTTTAACTTAGTTCTTAACTGACGGTCACGGTGGTAGGATGTAAATTCATTTCAAAATATTCTGAGTGTAATCTATTTTTATAATTTAAATACGTTTTAGCTCAGTGAAAGTTGATGTGTTTTATTTAATCTGGTAGTTGCATGCCACCGTTATTATTTCTCGCAATAATTTACATATCGCGTTACATTTTCGAAGTGAAACTTTTAGAAGAATTCACAAGTTTAGTGGTGATGAAGAATTCAATCCTCAACACCTCTTAGCATGAGTCAGTACTCACGACGAGGATGTGGCTATGAAGTGTCCCAAAGAATTCTTCATTGTAAGCTAGGTTGGGTTAGGTACCTTTTGTTGGCCGACTTCCAATCTTAAATATTCGGACATTTTGACATCAATTTAAGACCCATAATTTTTAGAGTATATTGCCTGATCATGTAAGTTTGTAGCACTTGAACCCTGACGACATTTTTAAAAATCCCATCCAATCATTTTCCTATGACGTCACAAAGATGAGGAACGCTATATAAAATGTAAAAGGCTTCCCTTGTGTAGGCTATGATCCTTATACGCTCGTGTTGTACATACTCTACGAATTGGCAAAAATATGCGACCCGGAGTTGCGTACGAGGAACGCGTATACGCTCTCACTGACTCGAGAGTATTCTCCTCGACCTCACCTTCGGTACAGTCCGAAAACCTCATACTCATAAGAAATCACATTTAGCAATTAGAACGGAAATGTACCATTGATTTTATCAGTGAATAACTTTATCTTCTTCTTCTCCATATAACTCCTCTCAATATATGAATTAATGAGAACAAATTATTTCCTATTCTGTACTCCTCCAATTCATGATCAACTATATTTATTTACCTCGATTATTCATTGTTTCTTATTCTCAAATCCACAAAAACCCAGACAGAATTATCCCACCGACAATAGCAATAAATGCATAATGAATCTTCGAAACAAGGGATCGTGGAATGATGCATCAATGAATAATTGAACAAATTCATGGAGCAGAATGAAAAAATCCATTGCATTGAAAGCGAACTGATTAACACGACACGAGTATTTTCTGCCCCTGTAGAGAGATAGATTCCCGCTCCCGAGGGCATTTAATCATGATCGCAATAGCTAGGTGCACCATTCACGCATCCATCTTACAGATCATACATGTGACAAACTCCATCGTTCCTGTGCAACATCCCCTTTAATCCCTAATTACGATGCCAGGGAGAATGGATCACAGTAACAAGCTGAATCGAGAAACACTGTATAGTACATATGGACCAATGGACTCATACAGTAATAAACGCTACTGATTCGAGCGACTAGTCGATCGCACGCAGCTCCATTGTATACTAAGGGGCTAATTGCCCAACGCATATAACATGACTTGGTAGTCCTCAGTAGATATTCGATTATGATCAATCTTCATTTTCAATCCCTCAATTTTATTATTCTTGCACAAACCTTCCGCTAGAAAATTTTCATCAAGTGACAATTCCAAGGGGCTATTCACATAGGAATTGAGTGACACCATGATTACAAAATGTAATTGATTACATGAGATTGCAACCCTGATTACAGTAATTAAAATCCAACTTCGGGGCATACTTAGGTCCTGCATTGAATTTTTATTGTCATCAATTAGGGTTAAATGGCATAGAAGAAATCATATGGCCCAAAAAACGATGTTCACATAAGGGACAAAGACACTCCATTCATTTTTCTAGTATGACCCTGAGAACGTTTGTCCCTTAAGAGCTTTCCATCCTTCTTATAACTCCTGACTCTTAAGGGGGTTTTCGCTTTTTTCTGGGTCAAAAAATCGATTTTTTTCACATTTCATCTTTTTATTACTATTCTAAAATAACGTAGAGAAAGAAATTTTTAGAAATTCTGAATATTGACGGAGTTACAGGGCCTCAAACCCGAGCGCGCGCAGGTAGACAGTGCACTATGGTTGCCGCATAACAATAGAGTCTTTCAGCGGTCCCCCTCTATTGGGGATGTGCGAGATTGGATAATAGGGGAGGGAAGCTCCTTTGGAAAACTGTTGATATTCGATAGTCTTCATACCTGTGTCTCTAAAATTTATTTGAAATTTATTTTCCGAATAGACTTCAGTCTATTGCAAACCCTCGAACGGAGTAGTTGATTTTTGTAGCACGACTCTCGAAATAGAAATGGACAGAAAAGGATCCCGGATAAGTCCTAATTATCCTTCGTGGGCAAAAAACGTAAATTCCGTGGCAATAAGTATACCAAAGTAGGTAATACATCATTCGCAAGTGCATCAGCAGCTAAACTAAGTAAGAGAGCTGCAGAAAAATTCGATATTATCGACAATAGCCATTATTGTCTCACCAACGTTATAACAGTTTTTTCTGCTATTAAGGGTGACAATTAGGAAGTTGCCTTAACTAATCGTTTATAACTTTGAAATGAGTGCCAGGAAAAAAAAGAAAAAAATATATGAATTGAGTAAAGATGTCATTTTTATTTGGAATTAGTTTGAGTTGAATCAGACACTTCTAATAGATACCTATTGAGATTTGAACAAAATTGACAAATTGAGCCAGAAGATAACTATTAATGGTAAATACTTTTGAAGTGATCTCCAATCGAATTTGCACAATAATCAAGTCGTTTTCGGAAACTATGAAAAACTTGTTCAATCTGAGATGGAGAAATACCGGAAATTCCGTCTCTGATGGCTTTTTTCAAATCATCTTTGGTCTCGGGTTTTTCCGGATAAACATTATCTTTCAGGAAGCCCCATAAGAAATCACGGGTTCAAATCGGGTGAATAAGGGGGCCATTCCATACCTCCATGCGCAAACTTGGGGTATCCTAATCGGATGACGCGATCACAATACATTTCATAAATAGCTTCAAATACGTCCTTAGTTCTATGTGGTGTAGCTCTTGTAATGGTTCTTCGGTGTAATAGTTCTTAACCAGTCCTCTTCTTTTAGCCAAAGGTAAAAATTTAGTTTGTAGCATTTCTCGATAACTATTGCCTGTAATGGTCCCTTCTATGAATTCTAAAAGTATGGTTTTGATTGAAATAGCTGCCCAAACAGTCACTGTAACAGGGTGTAAAGGCTTTGTCTCAGATGAGTGTGGATTTTTGCGACCCCAAAAACGGTAATTTTGTTGATTTACATATCCATTTAAATCAAAGTGAGCTTCGTCTGTGAAGATCATGTGTTTGATATCGATCTCATCATTTTCAAATTTCTTTTTCATAATTTTACAAAACTCAATTCTTTTGTTTTTGGAATCTACTGTGAGCAAATGATGGGTCGTAATTTTGTAAGGGTTTAACTTGAGGAAATTCTTCAATATTAATCTCGGTGTCTCTCGGTTCAGTTTCAAAGTTACCGCTGCTTTTCGTATCGAATCCGTTGGATTATTCTTAAAATGTTCTTTCATCTTGGCAATCGTATCTTCTGTTATAACTGAGTGATGGACCAGGAAAATCATGACGACGGTCCTCAAGAGTATAATACTTGATGAAATTATCA